AGGTGGTCGTCACTGCATAAGGTTAGAGAGCCCAAGGCTCGCCAGGGACTGGGCTCCCCCCAAAACGACGAAAACCCTTCCAAAAAACCGTCCCGAAACCCTCCGAAAAGCCTCTAGGAACCCTTCCCGGATGGTTTTCGGAGGGTTTCGGGAGGGTTCTTCTGTTTTGAGAGGAAACTAGTCCCTAGCGAACCCTGGATGTTCTAATGGTGGTCGTCTCTGCATAAGAGAAACACGTCCCAAGCAGCACGACCACGACAGCGCCGGCAAGCGACGACGAGGCGCGCAGACGATCCGCACCGAAGCACGGATTTAGTGAAAAGGCCCACCCTGAAGGTTCGGTGAAACAGCACATCGTTGAGCGGTGCTGCAGCCTCCCCTGAGGAGAAAGGGGGGCATGAGCTCGATCACACCGTCCTTGATGTCCGTGAACTGCTTCTTGGTGGACACCACGGACGTGGTTACCGCCTTGTCCACGGCCTGCGTGAGAGCCTTGACCAGCTCCTGCCAGGGCCGCCCCGCCAACGCTACAGCAAGAGAGAAGGGCAGGATAGAAGGGGGAGGAGGAGGAGGAGGAGGAGGAGGAGGAGGAGGAGGAGGAGAAGAATAGGGATCCTCAAAATTTCTCGGTGGTCTTATGAAGTCGTCGGAAGCTTCCCGTGTTTTTCGGATTGCGCCAAAAGGTTTTTAAGACGGGCCAAGACGGAAGCAGGACAGCCCAAGAGGGCCCCAAGAGGGCCCAAGAACCTCGACCCAGGACCTCGAGCTTCGCCAAAACAAACTTCAACCAACTGCACTGGAAAGAAAGACAGGACCAGCCAGCGTAAGAACGTCGAGCCAAGTAACATGCCTATAAAATCAGCCTGAAGACAGAAGATAGGGGTTGGAGTAGCAGGCGTTTGGCAAATTTGATTCACACTCGGTTAGCAAGTGATGCGCGTACGATTTACTAGATTGTATTGCATGCCTCACATCTGACCCGCACTCGATCCACACAGTACTGCCAGGCAACACAACAAGCTTACCATCATGTTGCAGAGTCAAACGCATTCGCATGTGAAGAAATGTGATGCACCACCTGAGAACACGCGAATGTTCAACATGCGTGCACAGCGGTTGAACAAGAACTTCGCAAAAACTAGTTCGTACTGTGTTCGAAAGAAGTTGGGTAGTAGCTTTGACCTTACGTTGCATGAGGCTCACATCGACCACACAGCACCCACATGTACACAATGAATTGCCCCAACTGGCTACCGAGCGACATGCATTTCACATCTACTTCGCGTTCGATTCGCGTTCGGATTCGCGCTTGCCCCCCTGCTCCTCTGATCCACATCCAACTCTTCTTGTTCACCCTCCTCCTCCCTATCCCAAAAGCTCAGACACAACGGATTCGATATGCAAGCATAGTTCAGACCAGTATAAACGATTCGTCAGGAGAGATGAAAGAGACGGCAGGAAAACTGGACAGAAGGATGTACTCCATCGGCAGTGCCACTCTCCTCTTCAACCCCCCTTGTCTTCCTCACCGTACATGAACGATCCCCTTCCCCCCAGTACTGCTGCTCCTCCTCCTGATTATCCTCCTTCTTCTTCTCCTCCCCCTCCTCCTCCTCCTCCTCCTCCTCCCTCCTCCTCGTCCTACTCCTTCTACTCCCCTTCATCATGCTCCACCGCTCCTCCTCCTCCCCCCCCCTCCATTTCGCCTCTCCTCCTTTCCCCTCCCCCCCTCCTGCGCCGCGTATTGCTCCTCCTCCTCCTCCTCCTCCTCCTCCTCGCCTCCGCCTCGCCTCCTCCTCTCCTCCTCCTCCTCCTCTCTCCTCCTCCCTCCTCCTCCTCTCCTCCTCCTCATCATCATCATCATCTCATCATCCTCCTCATCCTCATCATCATCATCATCATCATCATCATCATTCATCAGCATCAGCATCATCATCATCATCATCATCATCATCATCATCATCATCATAACAATCCTGCTCATCCTCCTCCTCCTCATCATCATCCTCCTCCTCCTCCTCTCCTGCTCGTCGTCATCATCATCATCATCATCATCATCATCATCATCATCATCACCATCACCATCACCATCACCATCACCATCACCATCACCATCACCATCATCATCATCATCATCATCATCATCATCATCAGCATCATCAGCATCAGTATCATCATCATCATCATCAGCATCATCATCATTAGCATCAGCATCATCATCATCAGCAGCAGCATCATCATCATCATCATCATCATCGTCGTCGTCGTCGTCATCATCATCATCATCATCATCATCATCATCAGCATCATCATCGTCATCATCATCATTACCATCACCATCATCCCCATCATCCTCATCATCATCAGCATCATCATCATCAGCAGCATCATCATCATCATCAGCATCATCATCATCATTATCATCATCATCATGGTCATCATCAGCATCATCATCATCATCATCATAACCATCATCATCAGCAGCATCATCGTCATCGTCAGCAGAAGCATCACCATCATCATCATCATCAGCACCATCATCATCATCAGCATCATCATCGTCATCATCATCATCCTCATTATCAGCATCATCATCACCATCCTCATCATCATCATCAGCATCATCATCAGCATCATCATCATCATCCTCATCCTCATCAGCATCATCATGATCATCATCATCAGCATAATCATCAGCATCTTCATCACCAGCATCATCATCATCATCGACATCATCATCATCATCACTACCACCACCACAATCATCATCATCATCATCAGCATCATCAGCATCATCATCAGCATCATCAGCAGCATCATCAGAATCATCATCATCATGAGCAGCAGCATCATCATCCGCATCATCAGCCTCATCATCATCATCATCATCATCAGCAGCAGCATCATCGTCATCGTCATCATAATCAGCATCATCATCATCATCAGCATCATCATCAGCATCATCGCCACTATCATCATAATCATCATCATCATCATCACCATCGTCATCATAATCATCGGCATCATCAACAGCTCATCACCATGATCATAATCATCATAATCGTCGGCAGCATCATCATATTCATCATCAGCACAATCATCGTCATCGTCATCATCAGCATCATCATCATAATCATCAGCATCATCATCAGCATCATCAGCATCATCAGCAGCATCATCATCGTCACAATCAGCAGCATCATAATCATCGTCATCAGCATCATCAGCACCATCATCATCAGCAGCAGCCTCATCAGTATCATCATCAGCAGCAGCATCAGCATCATCAACATCATCCACCATCGTCATCATCATCATCATCATTGTCGCCATCATCATCAGCATCATGTTCATCATCAGCATCATCATGGTCATCATCATCATCATTGTCGTCGTCATCATCAGCATCATCATCATCAGCATCATCAGCATCATCAGCATCATCATAAGCAGCATCATCGTCATCGTCAGCAGCATCAGCAGCATCATCATCAGCATCATCATCTTCATCAGCATCATGATGATCATCATCAGCATCAGCAGCAGCATCAGCATCAGCATCATCATCCCCTCCCTGGTCCTCCTCCTGCTCCTCCTCCCCCAACTCCTCGTCCTCCTCCTCCTTATCATTATCCTCCTGTGCCTGCTGGTCTTCTCCTCCTCCTCCTCCTCCTCCTCCTGCTTCTCCTTCTTTCCCCCTCCCGCACCCTTTCCTCACCCTTTTACGGCTCTGCCTCCTCCCCCCCCTCCCTCTGCCTCTTCCACACCCCTTCTCCTTCTGCAGAGCCTCCTCCCCCTCCTCCTCCGCCTCCTCCTCCTTCTCCTCAGCAGTCTCTTCCCACTCATCCACTCTCCCCCGCGCTCGCCTCCGCCTTCTGCGAGGACTGCACCAGTTCCAAGACCGCCTGGTCGGAGGGCTCCTGGGCATGTCCGTCACCGCCGCCGGCCCGAGGCCGCGGCGAACCCGTGACGCGCCCTACTGCTGCTACTCCGCGTAGGAGGAGGGGGAGGAGGAGGAGGCGAGGAGGAGGAGGAGGAGAAGGACGCGGAGGAGGAGGACGATCAGAGGTGTGTCGCCACTTGGGGCATCTGGGGGCCCCCGCCGGGCACGGGGGCTGTCAAAAACGGCCCAGGACGAAACACTGGTCCGAGGGGAAGGGGTCCAGAACTTCTTGGTCCACGCCGCGGGAAAATCACGTCGTCGGAGTTCTGGAAGGGTGTGAAGGGCTGGGCATGGGCAGGCGGCCGACAGCCGAAAGAAACAGCATGCACCGGCCACTGGGATCAGGTGCGTGCGGTGGCTCCTCCTGGTCCTTCTGCTGCTGGTCATCCCCCTCGCGTTCCCGCTCCTGCCGCTCCTGCGCCTCGTCTTCTGTCTGCCCCTCCAGTAGATCAACGACGACATGGCGGAGGCGGAATGTAGGAGGGAGGGAGGTTGAATCGTCCGCCCGCGGCTCGTCTGGAGGCTTGTCCTCACCCAGCCCAGCCCAGCCGTTTTGTGACCCCGCCCTCAGAGGCTTCGGTAACGGGGGTGTTGAGGTTTCCGGATGAGCCTGAAACTCGGGTGGCTTCGAGTGGCAGATGCATGGAATGCGGCACTCCCCCCGCCGGTACCCGCCTGTCGTGGACTTTCGAGGACAGCAATCCGAACCGAACCATCCTTCTCCTCCCTCCTCCACTCCTCCCTCCTCTACTCCTCCCTCACCCCTTCAACCCTCCAACCCTCCAGGGATGTTGTGGACCTGCCCCACCGAGAACCCATGCTTCACGCTGTCCTCCATCTTTTCCTCCCCCCTCTCCATCTTGAATTTCCCTTCCTCCTGCTCCTCCTCCTCCTCCTCATCCTCCTCCTCCTCCTCCTCCTCCTTCTGATCCTCCTCCCACTCCTCCTCCTCCTCCTCCTCCTCCTCCTCCTCCTCCTCCTCCTCCTCCTCCTCTCTCCTGATGCTCTCCTCCTCCTCCTCCTCCTCCTCCTCCTCCTCCTCCTCCTCCTCCTCCTCCTGCTCCTCCTCCTCCTCTCCTCTCTCTCCTCCTCCTCCTCCTCTCCTCCTCCTCCTCCTCCTCCTCCTCCTCCTCCTCCTCCTCCTCCTCCTCCTCCTCCCATCCTCCCTTCTCCATCATGTCCCCCTCCTCCCTCCTTTCTCCTCCCCTCCTCCTCCCCGCAGTGACGGCAAACAAGGGGCAAGAGGGGCCGCTTCCCAGGGGGACGGCAGCAGCGGCAGCGAGGCGGCGTCCTCGCCCTCCGCCAGCTTCTCGACCTTCGCGATCTCCTCCTCGACTTCCTCGCGGTCGGGAGGTGGTCAGCGCTCGTCGCTCAACTGCCATCTGGCCCGACGGTGGCGCCGTCACGGCGGGCAGGCGTACACGGGGGAGCAAAACTAATGTGAATGACTTTCCGCCGCACCACTGTTGAATAACACGCTGACGGGCTCCTACTGGCAGCGTGTCGCTGATACCCTTCCCTCCCGAGTACAAGGAACGCTGACCCTCGCCTCGAGGGAGGCCTCGCCGTATACAAGAGCCTCTAGCCTCGGATCGATGCCAACCGTTGGAGCGAACTGGGCGCGAAGCGTCGCGTGCATCGTGCCCATTTGAGCTGCGAGAGAAATAGCGCAAGCCACGAAACCGACAAAACAAAAGAAGTTCTACGTCGCAGCGCGGCAGAGGCAGTCCGCACGCGAGTTCGGGCGGGCCAGGAGGACCAAAAAAACAAAACACACAAACGAAAAAACAAAAACAGCACCACGAACAACAAAAACACCCACGAGAAAAAATGGCAACAGCACGAAACGAAAACAGCAACAACTACAACCATAACCACAGCCACAGCAACAACAACACCGACAACAACAACGACAACAACAACGACGGCAACCACAACAACCACCACAACAACGAAAACGGCATCAGCAACAACAACAACAACAACAACAACAACAACAACAACAACAACAGCAACATCAACAGCACCAACAACAACAACAACAACAGCAACATCAACAGCACCAACAACAACAACAACAACAACAACAACCACAACCACAACCACAACAACAACAGCAGCAGCAACAGCAACAACAACAACAACAATAAGTTTAAGACTGGTCGCTCTGATCTGCTCGCGTGTCACTCAACAGGTATATCCCAAATCCTCGATACCCGCTCTCTTCGTCTTCGATCGTACCCCCTTGGGGGTATATCTTCCTTACCTGCAGCGTGTATGTCGTACAGGCCCTGAATCAGGGGAAGAGAGGACGGATGAAGGAAGAGACAAAGGGGAAGGAGGAGGATGGAACACGAGAGAGAGTAGCAGAAGGGTGGCTAGGAGCAGAAAACACGTGGCAGAACCAGACGGGCAGATCGGGCGGATAGGCCCTAACGGGCGGGTCGGGAAAGCAGGCCCAGGCGGCAAGGTCGAGCAAGCGGGTTGCTGAAGCGTGCGCCCTGCATGAATCGCGAGGAAGTCTCGAGCGATAGCGCGATCTGCAACGGGGCCACGAAGGGCAGCGAGGGGACCACGAAGGAACGGGGCCACGAAGGTAGCGAGGGGGCCACGAAGGGCTGCAACGGGGCCACGCAGGGCAGCGAGGGGGCAACGAAGGACATCGAGGGGGCAACGAAGAGCAGCGAGGGGGCCTCGGAGGGCTGCAACGGGGCCACGAAGGGCGGCGAGGGGGCCACGAAGGGCTGGGCCACGAAGGGCAGCGAGGGGGCCAGGAAGGGCTGCAACGGGGCCACGAAGGGAAGCGAGGGGGCCACGAAGGGCTGCAACGGGGCCACGAAGGGCAGCGAGGGGGCCACGAAGGGCTGAAACGGGGCCACGAAGGGCAGCGAGGGGGCCACGAAGGGCTGCAACGGGGCCACGAAGGGCAGCGAGGGGGCCACGAGGGCTGAAACGGGGCCACGAAGGGCAGCGAGATCCCGACTCCTAAATAAACTGTGAGGGAGTCCCAGGCGTGAGCGCGACGCCTGGGTGCCTAAGTGTTGGGAGCGTGGCGCTTGAGTAGATTGCGGGGAATTCTTACGCAAGAGCGCGACTCATGAATAAATCGAGCCGCATCGCCGATGCCTCGGCGATGCGGCGCGATCCGCCGACCCCATCACCCCATCTGCTCGGACCCCATTTGGGAGGCCTGGAGACGTAGTTTGAACAGAGCTTCGCAGTCAGTCCCCGGCCGCTGCGACGAGGAGCCGCCCCGAGGCCCAGAAAGGCCCAGGACGGCCCGCATCCCCGACGCCCCCGAGCTCTCCATGGCGGGTCGGCCGGCGACGGCAGCCGCCGCATCGGGAGCCCGCCGCCGGGCACGCGAGCGGCCCCGTTGGGGGGCCTGGACTCCTCCCGCCTCCGCCGCCCCCCCCCCCCCGCGCCCGAGGCGCCTTCAGCTGCGCCTCCACGCCCGCCAGCGCCTCCCTGCTCTTGATCAGCGTCACTGCGGTGGCCACGGTCTTCTTGGTCTTGGCCATCTCCTGCTGCGAGGTGGTGAGCTGGGTCATGAGCTTCTGGCCGGGCGGCGTCTCTCTCTCTCTCTCTCTCGAGCTCCACACCGTGGAGCGGCACGGGCGCGGAGGTCCAGGCCCAGCCCTCCAGCGTCTCAAGAGAAAGGTCGTGGAGACACGTCGTCCCGCGCTTTCGGTTATCTGGAAGGCCCCGATCGGGGCCCAAAGTCATGTGAACAAAAGCCACCTGGGCAGACAACAAAAAAGGTCCCAAGGATGGCGTCGAAGGGCCTGCGTGCCCATCACGGACAAGAGTGGCGGCAGATGCCTGGGAAGAGGACGAGGAGACGAGGGGAGGGCGAAGGACGAAGGAGCTGGATGGGGGCGGGAGGAGGAGAAGCAAAGAAGAGGGGAGAGGAGGAGGGCAAACATAAACCCTGGATGCATCAGCGATGCTACAATGTACAATCCCGCCCCAAGTCCCCTCGCCTTTGGCCCCTGCGGGCCTGCCATCTCACTGCGAAGAGCGCCCCCTGAAAGAGCACCACCCCATGGGCCTCCCATTCGGGCGAGAGCCCCGTGTTGAAGAGGAACGGTCTTTGCATCCTGCTGCCGTACATGGACATTAGATTCGAACCCTGTGTCCCAAGATGCCCCCCAGACCCCCCGAAATTGGCATTGATGGCGTGACGACGAGGGGGGGCGAGAGTGGACAGAAATATTCGAACCCCAAAGCACCGCTTTTACTGAGATCTACATTGATGTCGGGGGCGTGGGGGTGATTTAGAATCTCCCTCAAAGGTGTAAGGGTTCGAATATATCGTCCATTTACTGTAGCGCGTAATCAGAAAAGCAAAGAGGCATCATCCTTCAATTCAAGCAAGTGTCCAGCAACATCCCCGTTTTGCACAGGACCGGCCCCTTACGCGTATCACTTTTGGCCGTGAGCTCCGAGGAAGTCTTTAGCGAGATCTCTAGTTTGAAAAGCAAGCGTGATCCATCTCTGCAGTTGCTGCAAACTTGTATGACGAATGTGCCCGGCGCTTGGGCGCATGCCCCATTTTGAAAAGCAACAGCCATCCACGTTCGCAACTGCTGCAAGCGTGTAAAACGAACACGCGCGGCGCGTGGGCGAAAGCTCCACTTTGGAAGGTCATTGCCATCCATCTTTGCAACTGCTGCAAACTTGTAAAACGAACATGCGCGCGGCGCGTGGGCGAGAGCACCGTTTTGAAAAGGAAGTGGCATCCCCATTCTTGCAACTCTTGCAAACGTTTCAAACGAATGCGCGCGGCACTGAGGCAAGAGCCCCATTACCTGTGCTCCATCATTGTAGCTGTTTCGGGTTTGAACTTCAATACCACACATGATGCGAACGGCCCGACCTACCCACTAGACTGGGGGTGCCACGGGGAAGAGTTGCCTACAAGGAGAAGGGATGAAGGAGGAGGAGGAGGAGGAGGAGGAGAGAGGAGTGGAAGGAGGAGGAGGAGGAGAAGTGGGAGGAGGGAAGCGAGGACGAAAAGGGATAGGAGGAGAAGGGGTGAGGAGGGGGGAGGAGAAGGGCAGGGGGAGGGAGGGGGGCAGGAGGCGGAGCAGGGAATAACGAATACATTTAGAACAACAACAACAACAACAACAACAACAGCAGCAGCAACAGCGGCAGCAACAGCAACAGCAACAATAACAACAACAGTAGCAATCACAACAACAGCCACAACAACAATAATGACAACAACAACAACAACAACAACAACAACAACAACAGCAACAACAACAACAACAACAACAACAACAACAACAACAACAACAACAACAACAACAATCATTTTACCCGAACGCTCAGTGTTCTCACCAGTGCCAGGGTTTTCATGCGACGCGAGACAATACCCCCACTTCGTGGGGGGGCAGTTCAAGCTCTACCAAATATCCAAACGACTCTTCGCGACCACCCAAACCCAGCTTCCCGCCCTATGACGTTGGGACACTTCACTTCGTGGCGTGCGGACGACCGTGGCTACTACACTGGCGTGGGGTACACACCCACAGAACTTGGTCACTTATTCGGGGCGCGCGTGTGCCCAGCATCCTGCAATTGTGACATACAATACATGACACAGACAGACAGAGAGAGAGACAGAGAGCAGACAGAGAGAGAGACAGAGAGAGCGGAGTTGGTCACATTTTTGGGGCAAGTTCCTGAGATCGTCGTGTTTTTTGTTGGTCTTGCGCGCGCGAATGTCCACTTTACTTTTTTTTGCAAGGGAGTATTGAAATTTGATTATGTTAGAACAAGAAAAAGTAGCTCGCGCGAGCTCATGTAACAGAAATGTTGAAAAACCATTGGTTTTGTGGGAGTCGGACAGCGCGCGCGGGATGAAATTTGGACATTTTTTTTTGAAAAACCATTGGGTTTTTGATGTTTTTATGTTGAAATCGTTACGAAACCTAAGGTTCTGGAAGGATTTCGTCTTGCGCGCGCGAATGTCCACTTTACCTTATTTTTTGCAAGGGATTATTGAAATTTGATTATGTTAGAACAAGAAAAAGTAGCTCGCGCGAGCTCATGTAACATAAATGTTGAAAAACCATTGGTTTTGTGGGATTCGGACAGCGCGCGCGGAAGGACATTTTGACAATTTTTTCTTAAAAAACCATTGGGTTTTTGATGTTTTTATGTTAAAATCGTTACGAAACCTAAGGTTTTGGAAGGATTTCGTCTTGCGCGCACGAATGTCCACTTTACCTTATTTTTTGCAAGGGATTCTTGAAATTTGATTAATTAAGAACAAGAAATTTCATTTTATAGTGTTTTTTGCAAGGGAAAGCGGGGGGGAACAAAAAACCGGATCCGGTGACAATCCACTTTTCTGAAGCTTTCGCAGAAAAATGATGAAAATGTAGCTGCGGCCTAGGTTTTGGAGGGGGGTCGTGCACCAGGGGTCCCAACAATAATTATTCTTTAGAAGTAATAATGTTCAACAACAACAACAACAACATCAATGGCATCAGCTGAAACAAAAAACAACAACAACAACAACAACAACAACAACAACAGCAACAACAACAACAACAACGACAACAACAACAACAACAACAACAACAACATCAACAACATCAACAACAGCAACAACAGCAACAACAACAACATCAATGATTACTCGACGCGGAGATCCCCATATGTGCATTTCATAATGATGGCAATTACTCGACGCGAACGGGACCGTACAATACCCCCTGGCGTCCCACCTTGAGAGTGCTGAAACCAGCGCCTCGTTTGAGACATGCTCGGAAGCTGCTCCGAAAGAGAAGGATGTTGGGCACCCAATCAGGCAAACCGCCTGAGGCATCCCCCCAATCTGGGCGCGAACGGGCCTGTGATATACCCCCTGGCGCCCCCCTTGGGAGTACTGAAACCAGCGCCTCGCTTGAGACATCCTCACAAAGTGCTCCGAAAGAGAAGGATGTTGGGCACCCAAACAGGCAAACCGCCTGAGACTTCCCTCCAATCTGGGCGCGAACGGGCATACCCCCTGGCGCCCCTCCTTGGGAATACTGAAACCAGCGCCTCGCCTGAGACATCCTCGGAAACTGCTCCAAAAGCGGAAGATGTCCTGCAACAACAACAACAACAACAACAACAACAACAACAACAACAACAACAATAAGAATAAGAATAGTAAGACCACGTTGAAAACTGTTCGCTCCTATATGATCACGTGCCAATCAATACGTATATTCCCAAACCCGCGGTACCCGCCCTCGTATTCTTCGATCGTACCCCCTTGGAGGTATATCTTCCTTACCTGCCACGTGCATTTAGTGCAGCCCCTGAAACGAGGGAAGAGGAGACGGGTGGAAGGGGGAGGGAGAAGAATGGAGCACAGGATTAGCAGGAGGGGGGCAAGGAGCAGACACCAGGTGGTAGAACCAGACGGGCAGATCGGGTGGGCAGACCCATAGCGGGCAGGTCGGAAGTCGGGCCTAGGCGACCATGTCGAGGAGGCGGGTTGCTGAAGCGTGGGTCCTGCATGAATCGCGAGGAAGTGTCGAGCCATAGCGCGATTCAAATAGATCGTGAGAAAAGCCAGAGCGAAGGCGTGATTCCTGAGCGCCGAGGGCGCATCGTCTGACCAAAAAAAACTGCGAGGAAGTCCCACGCGAGAGCGCGATTCGTATGCAAATTGTGAGGACGTCCCGCGCGAGAGCGCGATTTGGGAATAAATTGTGGGGAATTATCAAGCAGGAGCTGTTGTTGTTGTAAACCGGGGGCCAACAACCCAGTTTCAGCCCCGTGACTTTCCCCTGATGTTTTTTATGTTATTTATTTGTTTTATATATTTATATAATTAAATATTTAAACAAAAAACCAAAACAAAAAAAAAAAAAAAAAAAAAAAAAGTGCGAGCCCCGGGGGAAGCACTTCAATTGAAAAGATACAACGGTCACCAGAGAGGAGGGATCAACAATACATTTTTTCAGTAATGAAGATTCATCAACAACAACATGAATCAGAAGAAGGTCGACACTGCACCTAACCCCCCGTTCACCGGGCAGCTGGGTCTATGCTTGTCCTTAAGGACAACCCTTGACGTAACCCCCCGTGGTTAGCACAGACACACACACACACACCAGCAACCAGCAACCAGCAACCAGCAACCAGCAACCAGCAAGCGGACCTCAAGCTTCGCATTGGAAATCCTCTGGGCTCCTTAAGGCAGCCCATGCACTCCTACGAGCTGAAACCATGCGCGCGCCGCCGATCCGACCTCCGGGACGCAGACTCCCTGTGAAATCCTATCGCATCCCTAAGGAAGCCTATAGAACTCCGGGGGAATCCTATGGGATTCCCAAGGAATCCTATGGGATTCCTAAGGGATTCCTAGAGAATCCCAAGGAATCCGATGGGAATCCTATGGGAATCCTATAGGATGCCTGGGGAAGCCTATAGAGATCCTATGGGACCCCAAAGGATTCCTAAGGAGTCCCATGGTCTCCCTAAGGGATTCCGAAGGGATCCCAACGAATCCTGCGGGAATCCGATGGGAATCCGATAGGAAACC